ACGGGCACGGGCTCACCGATGAAGGAGGGCTGGAACAGGGTCTCGGGGCAGCGGAAGCGCTCGTTGCCGATGGTGATGACCTGCCCGTCGGGCAGCTCGTAGCTCTTCTCCAGCGAGGAGGAGGAGGCGGCCGTGGCCATCTCGTTCTCGAAGTCCAGCGCCACGTAGCACAGCTTCTCCTTGATGTCGCGCACGATCTCGCGCTCGGCTGCGGGACGCGGCGGCGGTTCAGGCTCGGCCGGCGGCCCCGCGCCCGCCCCGCGCCCGCCCCGCGCCCGTACCCGTGGTGACGAAGGAGTAGCCGCGCTCGGTGAGGATCTTCATGAGGTAGTCGGTGAGGTCGCGGCCCGCCAGGTCCAGGCGCATGATGGCGTGGGGCAGGGCGTAGCCCTCGTAGATGGGCACGTTGTGGGTGACGCCGTCGCCCGAGTCCAGCACGATGCCTGGCACGGGGGCACGGTGAGGGGGACGCTCCAGGCCGGGCCCCGGCACCCACGGTCCCCCACTCACCGGTGGTGCGGCCGGAGGCGTAGAGGGACAGCACGGCTTGGATGGCGACGTACATGGCGGGGACGTTGAAGGTTTCGAACATGATCTGGGAGGGGAGAGGACGGGGCAGGGGGTGAGGGGCGGGCACGGGGGTCTCCAGCACGCCCCACCCCACCCCTGCGCCTTGCTGGGGTCAGGGCAGGCGTGGGGGCACGGAGGGACGGGTGGATGGTGGCGTTGTGGGGCACAGGGGACAGGGAGGGAAGCACTGGGGTGGTGGGGAAAGGTGGGAAGAGGTGGGGAAAGGTGGGGAAAGGTGGGAAGAGGTGGGGAAAGGTGGGGAAAGGTGGGGAAAGGTGGGAAGAGGTGGGGAAAGGTGGGGAAAGGTGGGGAAAGGTGGGAAGAGGTGGGGAAAGGTGGGCCAAGAGGTGGAAACGCGGGTCATGGAAGGGCACAGAGCCACATGGGGCTGTGCACAGAGTGGGGAACATGTGGGTCAAGGGATGGATGGAAAGGTGGGTCACCACATCACACAGAGCCACCTGGGGCTGTGCATGGAGCACGTGGTGCGGCAAATCCTGCAGGTCCACGTGCTGCCAGAGACCCCCAGGGGCATCGGGCACAGGAACTTCCCACTGGGGTCTCTGCCCTTATCCCGCACCCCACAAAACCCCAAATCCCCCAGATCCCCCAGCCCTTCCTGCGGTTCTGGAGGGCCCAGCCCCACCCAGGGCCTTACCTGGGTCATCTTCTCCCGGTTGGCCTTGGGGTTGAGGGGCGCCTCGGTGAGCAGCGTCGGGTGCTCCTCGGGGGCCACGCGCAGCTCGTTGTAGAAGGAGTGGTGCCAGATCTACGGCGGGCACAGAGCCGAGGTGTCACCCCACGGGAGGGCAGGGCCGACCCCGCTCGCGCCCCGCCCGGGCCTCACCTTCTCCATGTCATCCCAGTTGGTGATGATGCCGTGCTCGATGGGGTACTTGAGCGTGAGGATGCCCCTCTTGCTCTGCGCCTCGTCGCCCACGTAGCTGTCCTTCTGCCCCATGCCCACCATGACGCCCTGGCGCGGCGGGAGAGGCCGGTCAGCAGCGCCCCGGCCAGCGGACGGGGCCGGGGGCCGCCCCGGTACCCACCTGGTGCCGCGGCCGCCCCACGATGGAGGGGAAGACGGCGCGAGGGGCATCGTCGCCGGCGAAGCCGGCCTTGCAGAGGCCGGAGCCGTTGTCGCACACCAGGGCCGTGGTTTCCTCGTCGCACATGGCGGGCCGGCGGCGCTCGGAGCTGGGGGCACCTGGGGGAGAAGCTGCCCGGGGGGAGACGGGCGTTACGGAGCGGCCAGGACGGGGCTCGCCCCGCGCCGCTGCCGCGTTTGGGGTCCGCGGGGTTGGGCAGCCCCATAAAATCCTCCGCGGGCCGTGCCCGGTGTGGCGGTGCCGGGAGGGGGGAGATGCTCCTTCCCACGCTGGTGCCGCTCTTCCGTCCTTCTGCAGCTCCTCCTTGGCCACAATCGGTGCCAAAGCCTCCCCGGGCAGCTCCGGTGCTGCCGTGCCCGGCCGGTGCCCCCCAGAAGCGGGCAGGGGGTGCCAGGAGATGCCCACTCATCCGCTTCAGGCTCAGCAGCCTTTTGCTGCTCTGACCTCGCATCCACTCCCAAAAACGGGGGAAAAAACCCCTGCCCTTCCCAGGGGGTGCCCCCTGTGCCAGAGGATGAGCTCCCCAATCCAGAGGGAAACAGGCAAAACCTTGCAGGAGCCCAAAAAGCAAAAAAAAAGCAAAAAAAACCCACAAAAAAACCCCAAATCGCAGGGATTTCTGCAGGAGCACAACCTGCCTTGGCCTCAGCCCAGCTCTCGTCACCTCCAGCGAGGCCCCCCCAGCTGTGGGGTTGTGCTGAGGCTGGCACCCACTCCGAGCCAGGCAAACCCAGCTGGGGCCGCCCCATCAATGCCAGGGCACCCAAAAAAGCCCCGGGGTGCCTTTCCTGCCCGCCGTCCTCCAGGGAAGAAGGGAAGCGGGGCTGGCAGGGCCGTACTCACCACGGAGGGAGAGCTCCTTTCCTCTGGGACCGAGCCCCGCTGTGCCTGGCTATAAATACGGCGAGCCCCAGGAACCTCAGAGGCGGATCCGCTCTAAACAAAGACCCTAAATAGGCTCAGTGATGGTGTGTTGGCCATATGGCCATATAAGGTGTTTTATTTCATTAAATTGACCTTGGGCTGGTGGTAGGACCCGGCACGGTTAATTGTTGTAGGAAAATGTATGGCAGGGACGCTGGGGAGGCAGCGGCTCCGCTGGGAGCCCGTTCCCTTCCTGCTCCGCTCCCATAACCAAGCGAGACTCGAGTCCTTGGAAGAGCCGGGCTGGGAGAGGTGGTGGCAGCCCCGGAGGAAGCCCGGCCGGGGGCACAGGTGCCTTTGGGGCTCCGGAGACACCGGTGCCTTTGGGGGACACCAGTGGCTC